TATATATATATATATATATATATATATATATATATATATATATATATTAAATAGTATTTATTGCAAATTAATATAGCAAAAAATGAACTGTTTTGAACATTAACATGTGATGAACAAATTATAGAGGTCGCAATAAACTGTTCTATTATTCAGATTCATTTAATTAATTTGCTATTGCTCTATTGAGAAAGTAGTAATTGCTAGACAAGAAGAAATTTACAGTAAAAACAAAAGAAAATGTATTAACCCTGGATGCCAAGATACTTGGTACGTAAAGACAATTCTTTTTGAATTTGTTTATTGGCATTAATTGCTTGACTTTGCGTGCCCATCGAAAAAAGATGTGACAGTCCTTATATTTTTGAACACAAGTAGGGCTGCACCCCGATTTGAACAACCTCATGGTAATAAGGGTCGTATAATATATTTGAATATACAGACTGGATATTTAATTTAATTTTTGTATGTTTATTAATTAATTTTTCACACAAATTTCACCATTTTTTATGAAACATTGATTTGCTCTTGTTTTCATGTGATATTTGCATGTTAAGAGTTCATTAATATGAAGACCTAAATATTTATGTGGAGTTGACGAAGGTAGCTATTGAAATGCTTTATCCAACATATTGTTACAGGCACGGCGAGATTAACTATACTAGTATTCGTTCAATTAAACAAAAAAAAATATTTCAATAAAGGTGAAAATAGCATATCCATTTTCATATAAAACTACAATGGCAATAAATTTTTCTCACAAGAATAGTCATGTTATTCAGCTTCACTAGAGCACTACGTGCAATAATTTTCCAAAACACCTCCACAAAATTAGAAGAAGCCGATCCGGTGGCCGAGATCGCTAAGGCAGTAGTGCCGTAGCGCACTCGGACCGAAGGATCGCGGGTTCGAGTCCCGCCTCGGGCATGGTTGTATTGTGTTTCGTTCTTTCATCCCCTATTATCATCATTATCGTGTCACCCACAGTTACCATACCGTTACAAGCAATAGTGGTCGCTAATGACCTAGTAGTTGATGCAACCTTAAATAACACAAAAAAAAATTAGAAGTCGTTTTTGATAATGATGCTCCTTCAGTACAGACAAGGAAAGAAGACTCCGCACAGGACATAGCCCTGTTACTCAATCACACCTTTTCAAAAAAGGATCTCCAACCCTTTGTACATCTCTATAACAATCCATAATATTTTAATAGATGGGCCAGTGTACTCAGACTCACGAAAATCCCATTCACTTACAAATTGTCTTCACAAATTACTCACTAAAACATCTCAAGGATATAAAATTTATAAAATTGTATATTTAAAGCTTTTAAAATTGCTTAAAGATTTAAATTTATTTAATACACTGTAAAGAATTGTATGTACGGTCGCTAATTACATATAACAATATAAAAAAAGAATAGTGCTAGCGATGATACAGTAATCGAGTAACCTATGTGTACACGGTTATTCATCTTCTCCATTAGAAATCGGGTGAGACATCGTACGGTTTGCCCTGGTCCAATGGTACCACAGTGGTACTTGCTACTGTGACTTACCAGTGATACTTAGTACCTGACCAAGAATAATTTAAGAAAATAGAAAAATAAACAAGGGGTGGGTTTTAGACAGCAAAAACGCCTTTTGGGCGTTTTTAATGCACTTACTGAGATGAAACGTGGAGCATTGGAACTCTACAAATTACAAACCTGAACTATATATTTCTTAATTTTTCAAGAGTCCTACCAATGCCGTTTAGAATGTGGGTGCATTATAAGTGTGACCCGTATTATTGTTATTATTATTATTATTACTATTATTATTATTATTAACATCATCGTTATCTTTTATTTCATTTTCTCTGAATTACACAAATGAACACGAGTCTTTAATTTGTTTTCTGACAAAGGGAACTCTGGAAAAATATGAAGTGAACACATACTTATCCATAAATAATTGCCATGCATATCAGCAATTGAGAAACAGTAATTTTTTATCTCGTAGAGCAAATTAAAAATTGAATTATGTAATTTAATACACGTATTTACGACGATATTTTTAAGAAGCTTTACTTAGGTAGATAATTAATAAATTAGTAAGTGCATCGCTGGTGACGTAGATACCTTGTAATAAATAAATAAAAAATGTCTGGTATCAAAATATCTATTTAAACATTATATCTTTCCGATCGCGTAGCGATCATCAGAGCCATCTTCCAGCGTTTGGGCGAAAAGAAAAACAAAGTTCTGTAGATAATTTGTATTCCTCTTGTTGAGCTGCTTTTATTTGCAACAAACAATACAGCTTTCCTTTGGTTAGCCTTGTACTGTACGCGCCACCGCTTCCCCTACCGGCAAAAATTCGAGTCAGTTCCACGGACCAATCACAAGCCGCGCCGGGGTCAGTGTCGTTTTGGCTGTGGCAGTGTTAAAGTACACGCGGCAGCGAGAACTACTGTTCATTACGTGGTTTGCCTCGCTGAAAGTTATATTGTATCATAAGTTGAAGTCGTATTTAATAAGATTTTACGTCGTCTATCAGCTAACTTCAATAGCAGGGCAATCGTCAACATCTTCATCAGATCTGCAGTCAGTTATCCGGAATTTGGCTACTTGGAGTTGTATAAGGTAAGAAATAGGTTAAAATTTGTATGTAAAATGTTAAAATTAACTCCTAAATAGTGCAATACTATACCCTTTGTTTACCATCATGTCTATATTTTAATATGCCATGAGATCAAATATAATCTTTCAGAATGAGAAAAGTTGCAGTATGAAATTACAAAATTATTAATATCATTGAAGAAATAATTTAATATAACATACTGTTAGCATTACAGTAGGAAACACGGTACAGCCTCAGAGAAGCGTGGCGGCAGGGGGGAGGGTCTCCTTAAGCCTCCCCCCAAATTACGCTACGCGCTCTGATTGAAATGAATAAAACTTACGGATACGCGATTTCCATGGCTCGCGCCTCATACAATCTGTCCCCACCGCATTGTAATGCCAATTTACTTTCAACGGCAAGTTGTCTGGCTTCCCTCGCCCGGCTCTAACTCACGGCGAGGCTCAGGCCTTCAGACCTCGCGTTCACTATAAACATCCTTGAGTCTATCCACCGTATAATAACCAATTCATTTGTATAAGAAAGCACTTTTCACGAAAGCCTCCAGAATTCAAACTGCGCAGTTACCGCCGGAGAGGCGCGAAGTGCCGGTTTAAACTACTTTCGCAAGCCGTACCATATACTAGACTTCAGCTTTTGTTAGTTTATTCTTCATTTACAAATAATTCCACAAATATCTGAAAAGTATTTTCTATCGTAAAAACGTTAAGTTTAGTACAGTTTGAAAAGAGTATATTCTGTATCAAACGATATTTTATTTTAGCATTGCACAAACTAATGCAACTGTAAACGGATGGAAACTCTGGAAATGTGCATAGAATATTCTACGGACAAAGGGTTAATACTTTGTTAATCCCCGTGATGATAATGTGATGTTTATTAGAAGGTACATTACCACATTAATTTAGCGTACAATTCTTGATTACCCAAGGCGAATTATTTTACTGAATGTTTTTCATGACCTTTTCTTTGTAATTTATTTGATATTACGTAAGTAAATATTTTAAAGATATTCTCGGATATTAAATACGCAAAAAATATTGAACTCGTTATAGAAAACTATAAAAAAGACCATACTCTTTGAGCACTCAAGTATTAATCAGAGTAACACCGGTTAACCACTCCTCTTTCTTCGGCATCGCAAACCATTACCTTCATTACTCTCAAAAGCCCCGGGACGTCTACACCGCATGAACACAAAGAAAAGACGAGCGCGAAAAAACCTGTAAACCCGTCGCATCCACTTTAAGCGAGTTTTATGTAAGTCTGGGACAAGATGGATGGGCTGCGAGCGGACAAGCCACGCAGAATCGGGCGACCGGGAGCGGGGCGGGGAGGGGGTGGGGACGGCGGAAGGGAGAGGGAAAAGCGACAGGGCGCGAAGAGTATCGGAAGGGGCAAGTCGTGAGGGGCGGGACGGGAGGAGGGAGATGGGCGCGGTGGGAAGAAGGCCAGGGGGAAGCTGGACGGCTTGGAAAGAGTGGTGGTATGTTGGCCGGAGTGGGAGGCTGGGTGGTATGATGAATAGAGTGGGAAGCGGGACGATTTGATGGACGGAGTGGGAAGCGCGGTGTGATGAACGGAGTGGGAGGTAAGGTGGAAAGATGGACGGTGTGGAAGGCTGGGCCGCAAGTGTGGGTGGAAACAGAATCGAATGGAGATGCATGGTGGGGGGGAGAGACGGGATGGGGTGGCACATTTGGAAGGGGTGATGATGGCCGAAAGTTGAGAAATCGGTGTGGATGATGACGATGTGAAGGCTCGTGGGATGACTGAACGGTGTGGGATGCGGGCGATTTTAAATAACGGAGTGATGGGACATAACGAAGTGGAAGGCGGGGCGTTAGTGTGGTGGTGGAAACAGAGGATCGGGATGGAGATGCGTGGTGGGGGTGAACGCGCGGAATGAGGGGGCGGGCGGGGCGGGGCGGGGCGGGGAGGGGAAGTGTGGCGGCGCGGCGGAGGGAGAAATCTGATGGCGCTACATCATAACGCAGGAGGCCGCGCAATATCCGGCGATCGCTCCTGCAGCCCGGGGGCGGGGAAGGGGGCGCGGCTGGGCCGGGTCAACGGATTCGATAGGAGCACAAGAGAGCCCCCCTGCGCTGCGCCCGGGGCGGGGCGGGGAGGTGACAAAGGCTGCAGCGGCGAGAGCTCTACGCGCGCACACTGGGCCGGAAGACGTGCGCGACGTCAAAAACCAATCAGAGTAAAACCTTTTTCCCTGGACACTCGCATTGTAAAACTCACCTTCTATTGAAGAATAATTCACGACATTTTTTGTTAATTCGCAGATTTTATATGGTATTGCACAGGTAGGCTGTATACGTATTTTTTTATACAATGTTCCATGGGTGCCGACGATTCGAAATACGTAACTTCAGGTTTAGAGCTATGAAATTCGAAAAAATAGCATTGTTAATACTGATGAAGAGCATATATAAAGCATTAAAACAATGTTTTGATGTTTCAATAATGTTTGCATACTAGTATAATTGGTCGGTACATACGTTTTGTGCACTTTTTATATTTCTCAGAAAACTACTTCCTTCTGTTTCAATATTCTTCTTGTAATTATAAATATCAAAAATCGTGAAAGATGAGATTGAAGATAAATTTTAATAAGTCGTATGTTTAATGTGATATCGACACAATGGCCTTACTACGCAGAAGTGGTGAAACACGGTATGTCAATTGTTTGTGACTGATCATAATCTCCTGCAAAACATTGCGAAACTTTCTGAATCCCTAAATTATAACACTCATCATGTCGGACATTCGAATTTTTATGAGACCAGTATCAGCAGATAGTGTATAATCGAAAACCTTAAGATTCAAATTTTGACGTGCTTGTGACGATTATCGTAGGAGAGATGAACAAAAAGTTGGTTTTAATGTCACAGTCGGCCGTGTGGCAGGTACGAGCAAAGAATGGAAGAGACCTCGGGTGGACTGGACTTGTAACGCCGAGCGGGACCTTGGATGAACCCAGACCGTTCACATCTCGATCGCGGAATTGCAAAAATAGCTTTCTTTCATATTATGTCGCATTTGGTTCTTTTCGTGCCTCAAAGCAGGCCGGAAAGGAGGGCATACGGTACAATATACCGTAATGAAATATACCAACTTACAAACTTGGTATTTTTGTACTGACGTTTCTGGTTTGTTTTATAAACACATGCTCAGCGCCAACGAGATAGTTGATTTCAATAATATGAAGTAAAATTACAATTATTCATCAAAAAGGTACATAAGAGTGCTATATAATGATAAAGTTAGAGAACTAAGTATGATGAGTAATCGATCATTACATCGCCATTAACGATGTAATTGATATTTTTATATTATTTAAGTTATAATGTTATTGATTTTTTTCGGGAAATATTTTTTATATTCGTTTTAAAATCTTTCTTCCGATTTCTGAGACATTATTGTTCAATTGCTTCATTGGATTCATCTATTATCGATTTCCGAAGCATCTCTTTATCTTTCAATTCCATTGTAAAATAGTGAGAGCACAAAAATTATTTCACAGACATCAAGATTTCAGGGGGCTATGGTGTCGTTGGTAATTATTTACATCGCGAAATATTGCGGTATGGAATTGAAATAAAAGTAAGGAAATGCAACAAAGTTTCAAATACAACCTGTTACGACACACGGCGGAAATGTTACATTACTCGTTACGAATTCCATCCCCGTCTCCTGACCCCACCTCGGCTGGGTACATCTCACTCATCATAGGGAGTTTTAGCGCCATGTGTAAGGAGATACCCTTAAACTCTATTGATCACGTGACTAACGCCTTCACAAGGTCGTAATGAACAACGTTCATAAGAGTTTTAGCAATTGCGACATTGCGTTATGCATTATAACAAAGGAAGCATTTCAAGCGTTGAACAGAGAAATTGCATAATATATCAAAGAGTGAAGGCTAGTGGTGAGACATTTAAAACACGTTACGAGTCAACAGACCAGCAAATACACAATGTGCACGGAGTTTTAGATTTTGAGTCTGCTTTCCTTAAAAATATAGGAAGTACCTTAAAACAGCGTTCGTTATGAGCATAAAACATAACCTATCCCGAAGATAAGATTTGAACTTCTTTTTCGCGAATTTCTTTCCTGTCACCTCTCCAACATATCCCGTTAATTTTTGCCAGCGTTGTGGAGTTTGTTAGGAATAATTGTAACTGCCTTACATACGAGAATTGGTTTATTAGAGTTGGAAAAAACAACTTTTCCTGTTTTTAGGCATCCATTTTGCCGCTTGTAAGGTGCCCGTAGAGACTCCCACAGGCGTGCACTATTTATGAAGGTATAAGGTCGTACTTTACGCCTAAGGTAAGACGTTATGACTTCAAGGTCTGTCACGTGACTGTTAGTGCATAACGCCGCTACCTTACGCGTGGCGCTAAAACTCCCTAAAGTAACATTCTCCGTCCTTATGACGTAAATTACTACAAATATACTCGGATTAAAACAGAAAGTCCCTTTGAGGTCGCGAGATGACAGGAAAGGGGAAGATAGAGCCCCCTCCTTTCTTTTCAGCTTCTGACCTTGAAAGGACTTTGTGTTTTTATCCAAGTTATACTCGTCATCCAATCGAAAGTTTCAGTACCAAAAATTGAAGTTGTAATGAAGCTCGCTATTGAATGAGAGTCCCCCTCACGTGCCAACTCGCAGCCTTGAAGGGACTTTCTGTTTTAATCGGAATGTATTTGTGTGAGTACTGAACACAAAATCGAGCATAAGCATAAGCTTATTTACCGGTGCACAAAGATTGTTTTAGAAATATGTAATATACAGAACACCTGCCGTGATATCATGACTATTATATGGTTTCTTTCGTGTGTTATAAGCAAGATATTATCAAATAACTCTTAATTGAAAACTCTTACAGTCAAAGTTTGAAGTACTTTTAATTTTTGAAAGGATGCATGTGCTACTTAGGCATTTTCTTTCCTGGTGGTTAGCGCCACCAATGATGGTTAGCCAAGAGAAGTTGAGAGCGAATTTTCATATATCAATAATTTATCATGCTTACGGCTAAGGTCATTGAAATCGCTATGTTTGCGAACTGCAAATCTTCGAAAACGTTCATTTATTCATGGTAATTTGAAAACAAGATGACTTTTACAATCTTTTAATATTTAGTTGTTTCTTACCACGCGAAGCTGCGAAGAGTGGAAAACTTGCATTCAATTGTAAAAGCAATAGACCCATAATTTGTTAACAATTATTTGTATCGAATGAGAACAGCATTTCTAAATAAATTAATATCATTCAGATGTGTATCTGGCATTCCACCGCATTATATATGGGAAACCGATAAGGTGCCTCTCAAATAACCAACTTCAGAATACAATTTCGAATGACACAAATATAGTTTCTGTGAATGCGCACATATTTTCTGTATGTGCCGTAGAGGACTCGTTTAGGTCCACTGTGCTATTGTGAGGTTGGCAGCAGCCCTGTGATGGCGAGGGTGATTGAAAAGGAGAGGTATGGGTGAGCCGGTGGCGGTAATGTGCTGAGGAGATGGGCGTGGTGGGTGGGAGTCTGCCTGGGTTGGTGGAACGGGGCGGGGGGGGGGGCTGAGATCGGCGATGGCAGTGTCTGCACTCAACCCCACTCGAAAGGCCGTCGCGTCGTTGTGGCGACGAAAATATTGTCTCCAGTGGATGGAATGTGCTAAAAAAGGTGTATGAAGTTTTTGTGTTTCTTAGCGCTTTCTGATAGCACCAAGGCTCTTGACGGTGATTGTCTTACTTTTAGGAAGAATTTTATACCAGCCTGGTTCAGGCGCTTATCATTTTTTAGGGTAAAAATGTTTTAAACTCCTCTTTTATTGGGTTAAGTATGCAAAAATATATCATTAATGCAGTTTTACATGGAAAAACGTTCGGGAAATAAAAATATGTTATTACGTTACTTTACATCGTGTTGGAAATGAAGTCGGGTTGTTTTATTAGATGATGAAAATTTCAAAATGTTATCTTTGTTTGAAATCAGGATATGGAAATGAAGTGTAAATAACGCAAGAGATCACCGTAACCTGAAAGATGTGTTATTTTTCCTTGTAATTTCCACGGCACGTTCTTCTCTTCTATGACGTACGAGATGCACAGGACGCAGGTTGGAAATTATTTATGTATTTGTTACCGCTGAAAGTTGGCACCAACTCTGAGGTCACGTTGCGTATTTGCCTGTTGGCAGCGTAAATCATCTTCCTTTCTCTCTCGGGAATTTCGGCCTGCAAGTCGCAATAAATATGAGAGATAGTGATTGGACAAAGCGAAAAGTAGTAAAAACCAACCAGATTTTCGGGTGTTTTGTTACCCACTTCAGAAAGGTTGAAACAAATATTTTTCAAAACGAATATGAAAAGTGTTTATGATTACATCAAGGCCATAGAAATTTTGGCTTCAATATTATAAATCCCAAAATGTTGGTGAGCCATTTCTTTTTTCTCCTGTACGGTTAGCAAGTTGATTGAAGAATAATGTTATGTAACATGAAGAATCCTTATGATTATAAGTATGAAGAAGACTGCTTGGTCAGTGGAAAGTTTTAAAACTATTGTTTGTCAACAATTCGGAAAATTATAATTTCCGTAATTTGAACTATAAAAAATTATATAAAAATACGTGTTTATTAACTACTAAAGCCTATTCTTTCTCATACAATTACTGTAAAAATATCGAAAGACATGAAATTTAAGTAAAATACCTTTCAAGCACTACACATCCACACAGGCCATCCTGACCGAAGTTATTCGTGGTTTCCTTCAGTCATTTAGGTGAATGCTGGGATACTTCTGCTAAAAAGCCCACGACCGCAAAATCGGATTTGCCAAACCGATTTCGTTGACTACATGAAATCATGAAGTTTGGGCCTTCGAATTGGGGATGATATCAGGTTGACAGTCGGTTGTAGAAATCACAGTCAAATCAAAATGGGCCGTAGTAAGCGATGCGAAAAATGCCGATCCCAGCTAATTGAGACAAAGTTTTGAAGGTGACAATCATGACTTTACAAGCACAATAAAGATGTTTGGTTTGATTCACGAACTATCTGAACTCGACGATGATTCTCGTATTACACGGTATTGAGAACACGGTCACTATCATCAGAGGATCAAAGCTGTGACTAGGGGAAGGGCCGCAGTCACCTCGACCGGTTGCCGATATAACAGGGTGCTCTCCTAGTCGGTTGGTGCGAGGAGTATGGCTTCTTTGAAACAGGCCCCTGAGGGGGGGGGTAAAGTAGTTCATAGTAGCTCCCAAGCCAGAACAAGTGCTAGGAAGTGAATTATATACCTAATTGTTTGAAACAGAATGCTTTCTTCTGAATAATTATGATTACGCTTTTACATCGGCATTTTATATATTTTTGCTCGTCATCAGATGGTGCATACAGTGATGTCTTTTGGTGGGGGTAAGCTTGAACATCCGTAAATAAAACAGATAAATTGAACAACGCGGAAACTAATCTCATGTCTTGAACGGAAAGAGTTCCCGGAGTGCACGTCGCTTGAAGTGCTATCGACTTCCACGTGGCCCTTCACGTCCGACCACGCGCGCTGCTACTTCTCTGCTAACTGCTAACGAGTTCACTCAGTGCCCAAGGAAGTTATGGGACTCCTCGAGGCGCACCCGTCGAGAAGGGGGCGGTTAAGGAGAATTCCACGAAGGAAATGGAGAGCCACTGCGCCGCGCCGCGCTGCCGGGACGCGGCTTTGCCCGGATGATGGATAATGTAGCAATTCATTAAAGAACGAGCACTTTCTCGAGGGAGATATAAAATGAACAGCGTTTGCAATTTTTAATTACATTTGTTCCCGTCTCATCTCAATTATCCTGTCACGAACTCGCGTTTTTGCTGTGAAAAATTGTTTTAGTTTAGAAATGACAACGTAAAAATTATGTTTCTAGTAGTGTGTTTAAATAATCTCTCGTGTAGTGGAATCTGAAGAAATAAAAT